AATTCTTCAGCATAATTTAGTATACCAAGGAAGCTTTGTAATTGTTTTTTATCTTTGATTTCTTCAGGAAATTCTTGAAGCTTTTCTCCAATATGGGATTGCAGTTGCAATTTTCCTTCTTTTATAAATAATCCTAAAAATTCTATCTCTGTTCTTGCTATCTCAGCTTTCTTTTGAGAAAGTGTAATACCATGTTTTTTCATAATATAACAAAATTTCTCAAGATGTTCAATATGTTCATCAATAATATTTGAATGAATAAGTAAATCAGCTACATATGCAATACAAAAATGAGTAATAGGTTTTATTACCTCATCCATTCTTCTTTGAAATATCTGTGGTGCATTTTTCAACCCAAATGGCATTACATTCCATTCGTATTGTCCTAAAGGATTAGGGGTACTAAATGCAGTTAATGGTTTACTTTCTTCTGTAAGCATGATTTGCCAAAACCCTGACTTACAATCAAATTTTGAAAATATCTTTTTGTTTTGTACTTGTTTAATAAGGGTGTCCTTATTTGGCAAGTAGTATCCATCAAACTTGGTAACTTCATTTAATTTTTTGTAGTTTATTACCATTCTGGTTTTTCCTCTTTTTATCTCACTATGTTTTCTAACCATAAAGGCTGGGCTGCTATGTGGGCTTTTACTTGCCTAATCAATCTAGCTTCTAGCAATTCTTTTATCTGATTTTTAAATTCTTTTTTATCATCAACACTATATTTCATAGGTTTGACCCTTACTATAGTATCTGGATTAATTAATTCTATCTTTGCTTTTACTTTATCTGTATTCCATTTTTCTAATGGATTTTTAGAATATGTTTCAGAGATTTCTTTTTTCAATTTTTCTAACCTATTTTCTGTTGTCATTTTTAAGACTGTAACTGGTTTAAATTTTTCTGTACTCCAACATCCACCACGCTGGGTTGTAGAACTCTGATGTTTTATATCTCTATATGCGATTGTAACAGCTTTATTTATTTTTGGTGTAAATATTTTATGTGCACAAGGTGTTGTGAACATGTACTTATCAATATATTGTGTAAATGGCGCATATTTTAATAGGAAATTTTGTCCTAATAAAATATCACATCCTATTGTAGTTGACATATATATTGTATCAACAAATACTTCTCTAAAGGAGATTAGAAAAGGTACTTGATTAGCATACTTGCTGTATATTACCTTATTTCCACCTGCTGTTGTAGCAGTTACTACTTTCTTTGAATTATATTTCTAGTATTCAGATGGCAGTACATTTGGTAAGCATAAGCTTATTGTACTTCCTGTATCTAAGTAAGCATGAAATTTAATTCTACAATAATTTTTTATATTGAGTGTAATTTCAATATATGGGCTCATGGGATTAGTACTTATTACTCTTTCCATGATAACAATGATTTCATATTTTCATCTATTCTTGGAATGATAATTGGATTATCGTCAATTGTTATTTTCAAATATCCTTAGCAGATTTTATAAGGACTATATTTCTCAAGAAAGTTCATTCCTAATAGAATAGGTGAACGATCCACTCCATATAATTCATCTTTATATAGAATTATTTTTTTAGTATATTCTTTCTGATCCTCTCCTACAAGTAGAAGGGGAAATTTAATATATTTTCTTATTTCAAGATTATTTCCTAAATAATCCTTAAATATATATGGTTCTGGTATTTCAAAATCTGTTAGATGATTAACAAACTTGGCATTTACATGACTTTTATCTGCTCCAGTATCTATAAGGACAAGAAGATTTTTCTTAAATCCTTCTTGGTTTACATATCTTGTTTTAATGTAATATTGTGAACTTGATGGTTCAGCAATACTTAAATTCTTAAGTCTGCTAATTCTAGAGTCTTGTCTAGAGGGAAATCTTGCAATAAGATTGTCTCCTTCTAAGCTTACACTATTTCTTCTTATTAATTTTCCTTCAGAATTAATTTCTTTTGCTTGTTTATGAAAATCAAGCATTATTTGTTCTGGTATAATAATTTCATATTCTTGGTATTTTCTAGGAGGTATGTATTGTGCTAATTCCTCAAAATCTTTATGTATGATAATGTTATCAGTTATTTTCCTTAGATTGTTATGATGGCTAGTACTAAAAGCAAAAATTGATTTTATGCTTATACTAATAGCCTTACTTCTTCTTAACATTTTCAAATTTCCAATTCTATAATATAGATTGAAACTTTGGTTAATATTTTCATCACTTAAGGATATTGCATAATTTAGTTTTACTGTAAATATTATCTTTTGATAGACTAAGTTTCCTACAACTGTTCCTAATAGGGCATCTATAGGATCTTGTAAGATTCTATTATCCATACAGTATATTTCTATTGGTATATTCATTCCTTCTCTAAAAAATCCTTTTACCATTATCTGGACTCCTCCTAATTCAATACATTTTAATTTATTTCTTACATTTTCTGGGATTTTGGATAATTTTTGTTTTACCCATTCTTTTGTAATTATAGGAATTCTTGCTTTTCCTATAGTATCTTCTATATTGATAGACATTTCTTTATAATTCATACTTACAATTGTTTTATTTACTCTTGGTAAAATTCTTAAAAATCCTTGATGGAATACATCTTTTTCGTGTAGATCTAATATCTTTTTAGTGATTTCTGCATATTTTTTAATATCAAAAGTAATTTCTTGATTAATACCTTCTATAGAATCTTCAACTTCTTCAGTTGTTTCTATTTCTATTTCTGATTGTTGTATCTCCTAATTCATATATACAATTTCCTCATAATCTTCTTCTGATGAAGATGTATCTAATTCATAAATACTACTACATTCACTACTTAAATCTTCAAAATGTTCTATTGGTTCTATATCACTATCTTCTTGGAATTTTTTATAAATTCTAAGAGTTTTTATATTTTGTCTATCTTTCTTTTTAGGACATTGAGGGGCAATGTGTCCTTCTTCATTACAAATTAAACATCTACATTTTTTAATGTTTCTTGGTTTAAATTTCTTATTCAAATTTCTTTTCTTAAAATATTTTTTATGTGGTTTAAAATTCCTTTTATTGAATTTTTTTATAGTTTTTGAATTTCTTTTTATATTTCTTATATGGTTTATATTTCTTTTTATGGCATCCAAATTGTTCAATTTGGCCATTATCTTTATAACAACATAATGAATTCTTTCTTATTTTATAAGCTTTCTTATTTTCTAGTGCTTCTCTGCACCACATACCTATCATTCTTCTTGTAAATTTAATTCTACTTCCAAGACTATCTATTTTAACTCCTTCTCCTAGAGGTAATAATTTCTCATATTCTTTTAATAATTTGATTCCCCATGGGAATGGTAATTTTGTAAAATAAGATCTTAATATAGGTTTGTTTTCTTGATAATCTCCTTGATTAAGTATATAGTATAATTCTTCAAATTTACATGTATATCTATCTAACTCACACATATCACATATCTTTAAATTTTCCATTAAAATCATTCATTGGTTATATTCATCTTGTTTTCTTTCTTCTTCATTAGAAGCATACCTATCTTCTAAAAATTCTGTTCTTAAGATCTTTTCAAATCTTTTTAATATTTCCTGTATGTTTTGTTCATTTAAAGTATTTCTATTATCTAATACCTCAGTTCTATTTGTTCCATATTTTATCCTTCCTTTAATAATTTCTGGTAACTTTCTCCACCATTCAGAAACAATTCCTCTGAATGTATGTTCTATAAATCCAAAAGCTGTATATATTTCCCATTTGTTAAATTGTATAGCTAAATCTGTACTTTTTACCCATGTTTCAATAGCTTTATCTTTATCTACACAGTCTAGATCTAACCATACTCTTGTTGTGTGGATTTGTTCATTATAAGACTTCATTGGATTTATTTCTTTTATGGATTATTTTCTTACATTTCCAGTGTATCTTTTCTGTGTTTTTCTATATTGATTAAGACCATCTTTAAGTGGTATTGTAGTACCATAAGGATAATCTTGTTCTTCATCACTACTAAACTCTACCTTTATATCATGACTTGAAGATGGATTAGTATTCATCTTTATATTTTCCATTTTTTCAGTTAATTCTTCTAACTGTTTTTTATATTCTTCATACTCTTCTCCTGTAGATTCTAAGAATTTTTGTTCGATTTCTTCTACATCTGTAATCATATATTGTTTTTCTTCATTTTTTTTCCTTTATTTTGTGTTATTCTAAAATCTTGGGGTGGATTAATTATAATCCTATCTTTTCCTCTAAGGTTTTTATCTAATAGGGCATTTCCTATTTGTAAATTATGTTCTAGATTCTCTAATCTTTTATGTATATCCCTAAAATTTTCATTTGTGGTATTTTTAGGTAAATAAGGATAACTAGGTTTTTTATGTTTTTCAACTTTTTTCAAAAATTCTTCAATTATATTTTCTTCATCTACTATATTCATCATAATTTTTGGTTCGTAACATGGCTCTGATACCATTTTGTCGGAGTGTGCAGCGGAGGGGTTAATATTTTTAAGCCAATTAAATTCTTCATAGGTATTTAAAATATCACAGCAAAATTTATAAAATTCACTATTTTCTACTAATACCTTTTCTTTAATAATTACATTTAGTTCTTTAGTTCTTCTTCTCAGATTAAGAATTATTTTATATATATTATTTTCTATTTTTATTGTACTATTATTTATAGTAACGTTTTTATTTTTTAATTTTGGATCTAAATATTCTGTAAAGAATCCTTTCAGATATTCTTTTAAATAGTTTAATTCACTTTCTGTTGCATTTTTTAGATCAATAAAATTTTGTATTATATTTGGATTTAAATTTATTAAAGATTTATGATCTATATTTTCTTGAGGACCTATTTGAAGATTTTTATATATTGTAGTGACTTTGATTGCAATTTTTCTATAAGGGGTATTTTTGAAAGGATAGTTGTTTGAAGACTATTTTTCGAATGTTTTCATTTCTTATACTAATTTCAAAATCCTTCCTATTATTGAGGCTGTTTAGTTGTATTTCCCAATAAAACTGCAGCAAATTCCAAGACTTCCGTTTCCGGTCTTCTCGAGAGAGATGATTCAGAATTGTGGATCCTTGTTTGTTCAATGGAGGCCATGTCACGTGCGAACAGTATGCTTGGGTTCTCCGTCTACAGCTGGTATTAAAACAGAGCAGCTTCGACAGCAACTCGATATTCTTCACAAAGAAGCTGAAAGCACAAGAGCCAAAGGTAAAAATTTTATTGCTTAATTATGTCAAAAATAGAATCCTATTTCATTTTCAATTTTTGGGTTACTTTATTGCTTTTGGTTCATTGTTTTTCGGATAGTTGAAGAAAGTTAAAATCCGCCCTGATAATGTTTTTAACAATTGGGATTTTCTTTATAGCTAGTGGGCTTCCTGCTACATGTATTAATTTCTTGCCAATATTTATATCTTTAATGGGAATGCTTGATTTATGATGAATAATTTTCTTGCGGATACAGGTGTATATACTTTTAATGGGTATCCTAGATCTTGTTTCAGTGGTATATGTACAAGTCTATAGACAATGGCAAAATGCAAATGGTTAGGGCAGGGCGGGGCGGGGCGGGTGGGTCTGTTCTAGTTTACTATATGGTTTGTATTGATGTATCTGTGATATATAAGTATTTGACTTGAAATCTCACTTGGCTATGTCGATTGAGTTCTTTTGCATGAGAACACTATTGTTGTGTCAATCCACAGACAACAATATTGAACAATCATCTGACAATTGTTAAAACAATAATGCCATTGATGAAGTCTTGATATAAGCCATTGATAGGAATTGTCTTGGAAGTGCAATGCATTTTATCTTGTTCTCTTTCCGCTTGGGATCAGAGTGGTTTTTAAGCAATTTTGGACTGAAGTTGAGTATAAGTGCTATCTAATACAGATTACTTTACTTGGCTTTCACTTCTAATTGCAATGGTTTTGGAAGATGAATGCATCTGAGAGATGTAGACTTGAATTACCGAAAATGGATTTTGTTAGGGATACTGAGAAATTGTGGTACTTTAGACACTTAACGAGACTTTCCTTCTTACTTGGATTTGTCGATAGTTTTATTTTTTGCTTGTGGACTTCTTGTAGGAAACAAACCTCCTTGGTCCTCTATTCTACATTCAGTTATTCGATCAAAATGTGTTGGTTTCTAGAAAAACAAACACAAGAAAGTATAATATTTTGGTTTAATTACCAACGGAGAGAACCCGGCTTTAGGAGATGATCACAACTCCTTATGATTCAAGTTAGATACTAACCCTGCTTTATGGTTTTGGTTAAATACAATCTATTTTGTTGATGGCAACATTTGCTTTTAAACAGAATTATTTCATAATAAATGATGAACTGTTGAAAATTGTTTCAGCAAACAACGTAAGATTGAGGCTGTTGCGGTTGTCTGAAGCAGCAGAGAAGCTTCGACGACAAGCGTCCATTAGTGTTCAAACTGGAGAGGAAAATGATGCGCGGGAGTTGCTTTTTCAAAAGAAGAAGGTTATGCAAGCCATGGAGAAATCAAAGGGTCGGATTGAAGTTCTTGATGAGTTTGCAGTGAAACTCAATGAGGTATAAATGCCTGTTACTTTTCACCCGTTTGTATTTCAGTCAAACAAGGAACTTGTAGCTGGGATTTAAAAAAAAAAAATTATGAGGTTCCAATAATTTTCTCCTTCTCATTTTGGTCTTTGCATTATCATAAGACACTGACAACTTTTTCCAAAGTTTTGGTGACACTAAAACTCACCAAAATAAGTGCATAACAATCTAGTTTTGGAGATATAGATTGGTCGTTGTGTTGATCCTTCGGATCTCTTTGAAAGTTGTCTTGACCAAGATGAATATAGCGTGATTTGGTTGTAAAAGATTTGATTTCATTTAATTTTTCAACAGCTTTAGCAATATATTGAATGGAATGGAGAAACATGATTAGTATAGCTGATCCTAAATTCATTGAGAATTCATTGAGAATAAGACTCAGTTTGTTGTTGTTCTTTTTGAGTGCCAAAGAGTGTGCAAGTTTACAGAGATTCATGTTTACATGCTTCTTACAAGCAAGAAATAACCTAGATCGTTTGAGTTACAACAAAATCAATATGTAACCTTGTTAAGAAACTACATAAATACTAAGTTGATAACTACTTTAAAATGATATTGGAGTCCCTTTTTTGTCCCCCATTGGAGATATATGGCAATGTGGATCTCTTTCATTTCTTTCCAGCTTGTTTGTAAACAATAGATGCCTATACTTAGTTGATTGGATATATAGGAATTAGTTCTTACTTTGTATTACAATACTGATCAAAGATGATTATGATGCAGTTCTCAAAAATTCTTTTAAGTTGGGTCACAGAGAATTTAGCTTGCTAAGTGAGCATCAGTGGTAACGAACCGGTCTCTGCCCTCAAGTTGTTAACTTACGTATTATCTGTAGAGAAAGCTTGAGCCCATCGTATCTCTTACGGATTTCTGTCACGTTCTCGGGATTTGAACCCTTGACTTGTCCTTTAAGAATGACTTATGATACCAGGATTCAACTTAAATCCCTCTTTAAGAGAGGTCATGTGTTCGAACTCTGGGAAACGCAACACAAAGTCATGAGGGGTAACAGGGAAGATTCTATTCCAAACGTACACTACGTAAGATAATGGCTGAGCAAGAGGCTGGGTTAAACCTCATCATAATCGATACTTGGATTAAATTAAAAGAATGTGATTTGGAGTGTGACAATGTGGAGGAATGTGGTTTAAAGCTGCTGAGAGTTTTGCTAAACACTAAAATGGACAGTAAGTTCTGCTTGTTTTCTATTTTCTGAGGCAGATTACATTCATCCATAGATAAAAGAAAATGGATGAATTGGTTGTACAAGGACTAATATATGCAAATATGGTATGAATCATCCTTTTCATTTTCATTAAGAGGACCTTAGATGACTGAAAAGTATAAGCTACAAGGAAACGAAAATGGCTCTATTATGTTCATCAATTACACAGAATTGTATATTTTTTAATCAACGTGTGCAGGGGTGGGGGACTTTGCAATAATGCTAATTACTATAAAATTTTGTCTGTTAATTAAAAGTAGTCGATTTTAGATTCAAATGCTACAAAATTTTGCAAAGTTCACTGAGAAGACAAGATGGTATGAATTAATTATGTAATGCTTAAAGGTTTTCTTCTATCTCACACGCTCAATATATTTATTTTCTATCATAGTCCTTTTTCATTTCTGCACTGAGGTAGATGGCGAGAGTCCTCCTCCTTCACATCTGTTATCCCTTTCTGGTAGCAGGCAATATCAATAAAGGAAGGTCAACTGATTGGAAATGTTGCTTTAGATCTTGAAGTTGGTGGGGAAGATGGCCCTAGTCCCATTCGAATTGTATCTTCTAAAGGGGAAAACACGAGCATGTCAAATGAAAATCTAGACTTGGAATCAGATCCCCCAAAATATGTACAGAATCAAGACCCACTAGTTGTTTCTGCAAGTCAAGGGGAGCTTTATGCTGAGAAGATTGAGAACAATCATGAGGAATCTATCAATCGTAATGTGCAGAATGAAGTTAACAATGAACAAAATGTAAAGGAAATAACCTCATATGAGGACTTCATGTGTCACCTGGATCAACAGCTAAACAAAATGCAAATGGAACTTCAAACATTTTTGAGGTTTTCAGCCTTAATACTAGAAAGCGAGGAAAAGCCTGAAAATTGTAAGGTCCATCATGCCATGGAGATTCTTGAGGGTATTCGTCATGTTAGAGAAAGGTAGTATGTAACCAACTAAAATATTTCTGAGTTTCTACTTATGCCTTGAGTTCATGCCACAAGAATATCTACTTCAGTTGTTTGACTATCCAATATTTGTATTTTTGCAGAATTGCAAACATCGCACAGACAAAAGTGTCATTCGAGTAAATTTCCTTCAGCAGGTGATATGATGAAGAAGGAAAACTACATTTTATATCTGGATTCACAGTTCTGCATTGGAAAATTTAATACGTACATAAAATGAAAAGATTAATATAACTGGGGTATGATGAGCAAAATTTTATTCTCTCCCCCTTTTTTTTCTCTTTTTTTTTTTTTGGTTTCCTATTTGAGTGAATGGTTAACAAGTTTTGCTTATTTTCATCTAGTTTCCATTAATCCAAGTTATTGTTTTACATGTTATGAGATTGATCAGTAATCTGCATCAGCTACTTTTTAATGGACAGAGATCCATTATAAGATTTTGAGCTACAAAGATGAACTAACATTTATTTTATAAACAGTGTTGGCAAGGATTTTAGGGGTGTGCTTAAACAGCAATCAGAAGGTTCAAATGTGTGTCAGTTTTTTCCATTTCTGATTCAATGTTGTTCGTTTTGTACAGCGGATGGAGTTCTTGCTTCTTCAAGGTCACGTGTCACACAGTTCACTGTTTGCATATTCAGCTCGAAATTGGAATCCATCGTCCTTAGCGTGGGATCAGCAATAACAAGTTACCCACAATTGCTGCAACTCCCATTTCCTTGGGATTGTATGTGTAATCACATTTATACATTTAATAGTGATATGTGGGATGACAAAATTCTCCGCTACTCCGACATTGCCCCCAACCTGAAAGGGACGGGGAACCGTCCCACCCCCAAATTCCACAAATTTGCCCCATTTCTTTTAATTAGATTGTGTTTTGTTTAATTTTATGACTTTTTTTCCAAGTCAAATAGTATCTAAGAAAGAAAATAACATAATAATTAAGCGGGAGGTAAATGAGGATTTTTCAAATGACTTCAGTAATCAATTGTGATTTTCAAATGAATTTAGGCCTTGTTTGTTTCCCATTTATGTAAAAATGAGATTGAAAAATATAGTAGTTACGAGCTCCACACAAGATATAGAAATTCAAATATGCTGGCTTAATGTGATGGATAACGATCATATTTTTCATTTTAATGGAGAAATAATGGGAAATTATTAATTGCCTAATTGACCGCCTAAATTTTTTTGAGTCAGTTGGACATTTTGGCTTACAATTACATTTAACTTTGAAATTTGGTGTTGATTTATAAACTGTGAATATGATGCATTCTAGATTGATTGAAATTTAACTTTGCAAAACTTGATATTAAACGTGTGATATTAAACGTGTACTAGAATTGAGTCAGATACTATGATAAAACAAGTTGATTCATTTGGTAAATAGGTTGATTTAATTGAACATAGATTCTTGACCTAAACCATAATAAATTATCTATCCTAAACTAAATTTAGCTCAGTTTGGGGGTGATTTTATAGTTGTAGGAAGATGCGGATGTGAACGTGGATTCCATGTGTGAAAATTTATGTGTGGATTATCTTAGACTAACATGATAAAACGAGGCGAAAATCTTGAGTTGGAGGTTAGTTTGTTTGAATAAGTGTGTAAAATGGGCATTGTACTAATTAAGGCACATACATTTGAAATCTAATTTTTTTTTTTTGGTAAGTCTTCATTACTCGAGTAATTAAGCTTGCAAGGGTATCTTAAAACCTGATGCCCTAAAGTCGTTTGACTTGAGAGTCATCAGTCTAAAGTTCACTACATGGGACATCTAGAAGGCAATAAAATATGAAGCTGCACTTGAAACAAAAATTGGTTTTCTTCGAAACCTTTTTGACTCGGGTCAATAAGCATGTAAGAGTGTTTAAAACATAGTGTCCTAAAATCATTTAATTTGGGAATTATCGGCCTAAAGCCTGCTACAGGGGACATCTAAAAAGTTTAATGAAGAGTGCAAAAAATAATAATAAAAAAAAAAGAAAAAAAAAAGTGAAACAGAAAAAACAAATGTATGAAAAGAGCAAAAGCACTAAATACCTTGATTAAGCCTTAACATTTATTTGAGCGGATTTGACTTTTGATATAAGACAATTAGCTAGTTTAGTTGTGGCGGTTGAAGTAATCAAATAATTGGAGAATTTTTGTTCACTGAAGTGTTAACTTTCAACTAATAACGTCCACCTAAATTTGAGAGGGTGAGGATAGTAATGAAATATTCAACCTTAAATTACACACTGAGAATGAGTAAAAAAAGAATAAGTTTGGGGTGTGTGAATCATACGAGTGATGAAATGACATATATGACCATTAAGGGTTGGGTATTGAAACAACTTGTGCAGTCATGGTTGATTTTTTAATTCTTCACACACACATGTCGATTTTACACTGGAAGAGTAGATATCGATCTGTTATTATGACTCTGAAGCATGTTTGTAGAATAAATATCAAAATCTCGAATCTTGATGTAAAAAGCTTGATTGTCTAACTAATTATCCCTTGCATGATTGTGTATTAGTAGTTATTTAGATGATGATTTTATTTGAGGACAAACAAATGTTTAAGTTTGGGGGTATTTGATAAGTATATTTTATACACTTATTCAAAGCGTTAAAACGATGATATTTAGTTGTTTTTGAATGAATTATGGTCTAAATTATTACATTTTGTATTGAATACGTAAAATTCAATGACGGTACAAGGAATTGAAGGACAAAGCAAAAGTGGACAAAATTTGAGAAAAAGGGCTAAGTTGTAAGAGATTCAAAGTTCGGGGAATAAAGTGCAAATACTTCAGAGTTGTGTTGGACCTCATGATTGAGATTTAAGAGTGCTTGGAGTCAATAGGATGAAGAAAGATGTCAAAGGGATCAAATTTAGGCAAAATATGATCATAAATCAATTTTCAACTGAAAAGTTATGCTCTGAAATTTCAGTCTCACATTGAGACTCATTTTCTACATAGCAAACAATCGAATTGAAGAATGATGTCTGAAGCAAAGTTGTAGCCCTTTGAGTTATCTTTCCAACGCATCCTGAATCGCCTCAATTGGACATCGGGAGAGAATGTTATGCTAAGAATACTGAAAGAAGTGTGTGCTGTCTGTTCGAAAAAGTGGCGCAAGAAGTGTGTGCTGTCTGTTCGAAAAAGTGGCGCCACAGCGCCATTTTAAGGGCGCTGCGGTGTCGGGAGATTCAGAGAGGTGGCGCCACGAGGCCATCCTATGGCGCTGCATCGCCACCACCTATTGTATTGAAGCGGCGCTGCGGTGCCACCAATCCGTAACCTAAGCGGAATTTCGGCCCATTTTGGAGTCCATATGAAAACCCCATTCTTCATACACGGCAGGGGACCCATAAATACGACAATTCTCACACTTTAAGGGGTTCTACAGATTCTAGAGGCAAAAACACTTCTTGAGAGAAAGGGAGAGAGATTCAAAGGGAGGAGACAACGCCAAATTCATCGTGTGAAGCATAAATTGGAAAAATGAGGAATTCTTAGTGCAAGATCCACTTTTTCTTCTACATATTCTTATTAAAAATCCGGTGATGTACTATAAGACAATTTGTTGTTGCTCTTCTTTTATTATGCATAGTTAAATCCATTGTTAGGGCGAATGATGTAACCCATTTGAGATCCTTTATGTTTTCTTATTGAGATTCTTGGTTTTTAATTTTTCCATGTGTTGATTCTTGCTATGAATTAATTGCATTAAATTATCTGATCAATAATTTGATGAATTTTTCAAATCCTTTACAAATAGAGATATGAGTTTAGGATTTAAACCATGTAATAAAATACAGTACATTGGTATGATGTGTAGAGATACCTATGTCATTTATTGCGGTCATAATTGAATTTCTAGGACAAATAACTTGTTTAACTCAGTTAATTTGCATAGAGATATAAAATTTAATTAGTTGAATAGGTTCAATGAGAACACGAGAAGGGTAAATTGAATACAATAGGAGAATTCGACCGAGCATTACAATAGAATTGAGTCTTAATTTGAGATGTAAAGATGATCAATATGTGAAATTATTCTGCCCTAACGTCCTTTAATTATCTAATCATACAAGTTTTTGGTGTGAGCTTTTATTTATTGTCTAGAATTAAGATTTAAATTCTAATCATACAACTTTTAATCTATTTCCATCAAATAGTGGTTAAAGAAAAAAATTGAATTAAGTACTAGAAAATAATCCTCTTAGAAACGATAATTCGAACTCAAAATGTTCACTTTATTACTTGTTTCGATCCGTCCACTTGCAGGATAAAATCAACAAGAAGTTTTTGAAATACCCCCAAACTTAAACATTTGTTTGTTCTCAAACAAATTCATCATCTAAATAACTACCAATACACAATCATGCAAGGGATAATTAGTTAGACAATCAAGTTTTTTTACCTCAAGATTCAAGATTTTGATATTTATTCTACAAACATGTTTCAGAGTCATAATACCAGATCGATATCTACTCTTCCAGTGCAAAACCGACGTGTGTATGTGAAGAATTAAGAAATCTACCATGACCGCACAATTTGTTTCAATTTTCGACCCTTAATGGTCATATATGTCATTTCATCACTCGTGTGATTCACACACTCCAAATTTGTTCTTTTTCACTCATTCTCAGTGTGTAATCTAAGGTTGAATATTTCATTACTATCCTCACCCTCTTGAGTTTAGGTGGACGTTATTAGTTGCAAATCAACACTTCAGTGAACAAAAATTCTCCAATTATTTAATTGTTTCAACCGCCACAACTCAACTAGCTAATTGTCTTGTATCAAAAGTCAAATCCTCTCAAATGAATGTTGTTGACATCCGAACTCCAACCTAATAAAAACAGTTCGCTAACCCGACCTCAGTTAAATGTAAGTTCGGCCCATACTCCCAGGTCGGACAAACCGCCGTTATCTCAGAAAACAACATGATTACCCCTTGTCACATCACCCTATCAATCAGATACACTTGCCACAGGTAACATCATCGCCGCCCGGAACAACCAATTCCAAGTCCTCGAACTCCAGCCCCTTGCAAGTCATCATTACCTAGGTAACACATTAACACATGACCACCGGCCTCATCGACCAATCACAGGAGAATTCGACGACCCGAGTTTCGAGCTCGGCACTGTTGTTGATTTGACTGATTTGATATAATTTTGGCTGAAACTATGTATAAATAGTTGAATGGGACTCTTGTAAAAGGCAGGTGATTTTCATACAACTCAAGGCATAATTACACTCTCTAAACATATTTTGTGGTCTTTTTTCAATAATAAATTGCCATTTTTTCTTAAAGTTGGCTTAAAATTAGCCTTGCTATTTTTGACGTCAACAGTTAGACGCTAGAATGAGGGCCCTAATTTTGAAAAATAGTCTCATTCTTTCCACAAAATTCGAGAGCCATGAGTCATAGTTCAAGTTCCAGAAATCCATCTCACACCCACCCTCACAAAACGAACACACCACCAAGTTTTCCACGACGGCAGGACCCTCAAATGACCGCCATAAGGGAAGCCCTGGAAAAATTGACGAACGTAGTGGGACGGTTGGAAAGGAGTCAAGCCCACTCGTCCCCACTAGATACTGAGGTGGACTCCCCCGTAAGGATACAGGCAAGGCGTTCCCTCACCAGGAGGACTCTCCACTCTTCAAGGGGAGAATCCTTTGGAAGCCGAACTGACGAGGTCAAAAGTAAGGAACCTGAGGCGAGGAGGACTACAAGCGTGTTTGACCGATTGGGAACCCAGCAATCACTAACTCCTATGCAAGGACAAACCGACCTGAAACGTCCGTTGGAACAAGCAGAACCCGAACTGAGCGCACTTGAAAAACACATCGCCGACTTGGAGGCTAAAAACAAAGGTG